CAAGGAACTGCCTGGTTTCATCCTCTGCAAAACGAAAGCTTCTTGTTCTCCTGGCAGTCCGTGGTATAGTCAATACCCTTCTCCAGCACTACAACCAAAGGCATCAATTCTCCTTCTATCACCCCAAGTCATTGTCCAGCTTTCTGACACATAACAAGTAATTGCAAATACTCTGGCTTGGATCAGGCACACCTTAGTCTCCAGACTGATGTCAATGCTCTTCAGCACTCTGGAGAGGTCTCTGACAGCAGATTTTCCCAATACAATTCATCTTTGATTTCCTGGCTGCTGGTACCAAGACTGTTGATTTTGGAGCCAAACAAACTAAAGTCGCTAACAGTCACAATCTCTTCACTATCTATCATGATGCTGCCAATCGTCCCAGTGGTGAGAATCTGTTTTCTTCATGTTGAGCTTCAATCCATATTGAAGGTTACAGTCCTCGAGCTTCTGCAGCAAGCATTTTCCTCCTCAGTTTTAGAAAGCAAGGTTGTGCCATCTGCATAATGTAGGTTGTTGATGAGTCTTCCTCCAATCCTGATGCCACACTCCTCCTCATAGAGCCCTATCAGTCCAAAAGATTGTTCACTATTATTTCACTTTGAATGGAATCTAGAATGTATAAATTTTTTAATGAGCACGAAAATTCTTTTAAAATAATAATTAGATAAATTATTCTTTTTATTTATATTGTAGATGAAAATTAAAAGCAAATAGATGACTATACGAATGTACATTTACACGTATATATGAACTATATTCATTACCTATTATATATGTAAAAGATTTAACTATTAATACCTCAAACTTCTTTGCTTTCCCAATGTTGTATAGTCAGTTTCTCTATGCAATACATCCTAGAACTTTTTATGCACCACGCCTTAAACCAGAAGAGGGAATTGATGTCTTCTTTTCACATTTTCTCTAATTCTCATCCTCACCCCTGCCACACACATTCATGTACACACACATGCACTCTCTCTCCCTTTCTTTCTCTCCCTTTCTCTGTCTCTGTCTCTCTCTTTATCTAACACACACATACACACACAGATAAATACACATAGGTGCACACTCCTTGTATTATCACTAATTGCAGAAGTTTTAAATTTCCTGAGCAAAGTAACTCATGGGAGGAATTTCTTTGAAGCCTTATATCTCAATTAAAAATGCAGACACCATTATACATTTTGCTTAGAAATGCATACACCATTTTTATATTACTTTAAAATCATAGTAATGCTTAAGATCAACCCCCATTGGAATCTTAAAGCTTTAGAAAAGCGATGCAAAGCCACCTGAAATGCTTCCATATGCCCAGTGTATCAAGCAGCCCAGCTAATGGCTCTAGCTAAGCTCTGGCATCACCAAGTTGTTTATGTGCGGTGTCTCCCTTTCCCAGGCTGTTCTACTGTTCATCTGCCTCTGGGCCTCCAGCTCCTGGCACTGTGCCCAGCATACAGCAGGAACTCATTAAGTGCTTATGTCGTAAGATGCTCTCCTGAAGTGGATTTTATGGGTGAAGTGAGAGCATACTGCTTAGTCAGTGGAAACAGTAAATTGCAGTAACTCAAAAGTGGGTGACTAGAAAGCTAATCAGCCTTAAATAGAATCAAGATATATATATATAGTTACTTATCTTTGGGCTTCTGCTCTTCCCGCAGAGTCCTCCAGTAACCAAAGCATCTAGTCTGTGCCTGATCTTGTCTCTATTGCTCTCTACTTGAAAAGTCTCATTTCCCTTAACTCTCTGCATTCTCTGCAGTAAGAGCCTAAAACCAAACCCAGAGCCATCATCAAGTGGATTCCAACTCACAGTGATCTATAGGTAAATTAAGTCGAACACCTTGTTGGAGTTTCCAAGACTATGTTTCTTTGCCGAAGCAGACTGCTACCTCATCTTCCAGCAGAGCAGCTAGCACGTTTGAACCACCAGCCTTTCTGTTAGCAGCAAAGTGCTTTAACTACTAAGTCGCCCAGGCTCCTTAACTTAAGGGAAGATATGCTAAATCAATGCTTTGTAAGATTAATAGTCTATCTATCACAATGTTCATGGATATCTACATTTGAAAAGAAATCTAACCCTTTAATATCCAAGAAATTTATTGTTGTTGTAGATGCATTGCTATTCCATGAACAACAGATAGGAGTCTTGCCCTGTTCTGTACCATCCTTATGCTTTCTACAACCTTCAAGCCCATTGTTACAGTCAGCATGTCAATCCATCTCCTCAAGGTTCTTCTTCACTTTCTCTGACCCTCTACCTTTCCGGTGTCTTTTTCCAAGGACTGGCCCCTTGTGACAATATAATCAAAGTATGTGAGACAGATTTTACCCATCTTCACCCATAAGGAACACCCTGATTGGACTTTCTCCGAGACAGATTTGTTTGTTCTTTTAGCAATCCATGGTATACTTAATACTCTTCATTAAAACCACAAGTCAAAGGCATCAGTCTTCCACTATTATCCTTATTCATTATCCAACTTGAAAATATGATAGCGTGCACCTTAGTCTTCAAACTTATAATGCAGGTCTTTGGAGAGGTCTTTGACAGCAGATTTTTCAAATTTAACACATTTTTTTTATTTCTTGGCTGCTGCTTCTATGAGTATTGATTGTGGATATAAGTAAAATTAACTTGGTACCTTCAATCATCTGTCCATGTATCACGATGTTGCTTGAGTCCAATGGTGAAGATTTTTGTTTTGTCGATATTGAGATGTAATCCAATTTGAAAGCTATAGCCTTTGATCTTCTGTATTAAGTGCTTCAAATAGCCTTCATTTACTGCAAACAGATGGTTGATGAGTCTTCCTTCAATCCTGGTACCACATTCTTCATCATAAAGTCTAGTATCTTGGATTGTTTACTCAGCACATAGATTGAACAGGTATAGAGAAAGGATACAACCCTAATGCACACTTTTCTGGCTTTAAACCATGCAGTGTTCCCTTGTTCTATTTGTATAACCACTTGTGGTCTAGGTATAGATCTCTCGTTAGCACAGTTACAAGTTCTGGGATTCCTATTCTTTCCAATGTTAATTTGTTATGATCCACACAGTCAAATATCTTTGCATAGTCATTCTTCTGATATTCCCTGCTTTTGGTGAAGATCCATCTGATGTCAGAATTTATATCCCTCATAACACAGCCTTTTCTCAATCTAGTTGAATTTCTGGCAGTTTCCTGTTAATATACTGTTCCAGCTGGTTTTTTTAATAATCTTTAGCAAAATTTTACTCTTATGAGATGTTAACCATATTGTTTAATATTTATGCATTCTGTTGGACCACCATTTTTTTGTAGTGGGCCAGTGAGTTGTCTAGGAAACTGTCTTCCAAATTTCTTGGCATAAGCCAGTAAGTACATCTAGGGTTGTACCTGCATATGAAAAAACATCAAATGATATTCCATCACCTCCTAGGATCTTATTTTTTGCCCCCAATGTCCTTAGTGTAACTTAGACTTTTTCTGTCATTACCATTTTGATGGTTACTACTTCTGGAAATGATTCTATGTTGATCCTTTCTTTTTGGTACAATGACTCTGTGTATTTCTTTTGTCTTCCTTTGATGGTTCGACAGTCTTCAAGATTTCGTCCAATGAACCCTTTACAATTGAAACTTAAGACTTGAGATTGTTCTTCAAGTTCTTTCAGCTTGTCAAATGCTGAGCGTGTTCTCTTTTGGTCTCCTAACTCCAGCTCTTCACACATTTCATTATAATACTTTGCTTTGTCTTCTTCACCTGATCTTAGCTCCAAAGCCAAGAAGCAGTTGCTTTGTCTTCTTGAACTGCCTCTTGAAATCTTTAAATTCAGTTCTCTTACTTCAGCATCCTTTACCCTTGTTTGACTTCTTTTTATTTCAGTGTAAGTTTCAGAGTCTCTACTGACATCTATTTTGCTCCTTCTTTCTTTCCTATCTTTGTAGTGATCTTTTGCTTTCTTAAGGGATGATGTCTTTGATGCTGTCCACAACTCATTAGTCTTCAGTCATTAGTCTTCAGTATGTCAAATCTATTCTTTAGATAGTTCTTAAATTCAACTGGGATAGACGCAAGTTTATATTTTAGTTCTTGTGGATTTTTCAAATTGTCTTCATCTTCAATTTGACCTTGCACATTAATAGTTGATGATCTGTTTCACAGTCAGCTCTTGGATGTGTTTTTGACTGCTAATGTTGAGCTTCTCTGATGATTCCACAGATGTAGTCAAACTGATCCCCACGTCATTCATCAGATGAGGTTCATATGTATAGTCACTGGGTTTTTTAAATAAGGCATTTGCTATTAATAAACTTCTGTAAATGATTCTATGTTGATCCTTTCTTTTTGGCACAATGACTCTGTGTATTTCTTTTGTCTTCCTTTGATGGTTCGACAGTCTCCAGCTTCATTTCTGTCACTAAGGCCATATTTTCCAACTACCAGTCTTTCTTCTTTGTTTCCAACTTTTGCATTCTAGTTACCAAATATTATTAGTGCATTTTGATTGTATAAAAACTCATATGGTACTATTACCTGAAGTACAGCTAATAAACACATTGAAAATTTATTCTGGAATGGAGGGGGTTTCTAAACACAAAAAGGAACCTAAACAAACTCAAAGTCACTTTGAGTCAGATACAAGCTGTCCATCAGGTTTCAAAGGCTGCAAATCATAACTGTAGGAGAACTCCTCTCTTTCTCCTAGGAAATTTCTGATGGACTTAAACCAGTGTGTGGAGACACAAGGCCTTAGGGTTAGCAGAGTGACTAACTATAGACTACACCAGCTCCTTAAATCATAGCCCATAAATGCCTCTCCTGCCTCAAGTTAGAACCAAGACCAACAGAAAGGACATTTTGAAAGAAAAATATATAGCTAAAGGGGCAAACACACTTTCAGGCTATCATTTCATCAACAAATATCTTCCCCTGTTTGACCTTAAGTGATTGAATGCCATTTTCCTTGTATACATCTGTTCCATTTTCTTTCTGATTACCTTTAAAACTTACTTTTGGCATCCATTTTTAAGTGCAAAGAAATGTGCACACAGCTGTTCAGGTCCTCTGCAACTCTACAAGAATGTTTTTTAGACTTTCCCATAGTTGGATCTTGCATTGCAGTTGTTGAATTTCCAGAGTGGTTATTTAGATGACAGGTAGTGTCATGTTCGTCCAAGTGATCGACTATCGAGGTAACAGTGACATTAAGATGTTGACAAGGTAAATGGAAATCACTTGTGTTCTCATACACTGATCCACTCATGACAAGAACTGAAAAGAGAGCAAAAAAGCAGTATTATCAAAGCAGTAATAAATACTAGGAAAACAGAACAAACTCAAAATTAAATCTCCCCTTATTGTAGAAGACCACTGGAAAAAGAAGTTAGTGCCCCTGAAAGTAATAATCAAAGTAGTTTATGAGGGGTTTTTCAAAATGGACTAAGGCTCAATGTCAAGAAGACAAAGATTCTTGCCACTGGACCAATTGGCAGCATCAGGATGGATGACGAAGAGATTGAGAGTGTTCACAGCTTCAGGTTGCTCGGCTCCACAGTCAACACTCTTGGTACCAGCAGTCAGGAAATCAAAAAGCGTATCGCGATGGGAAAGTCTGCTGTTAGGGACCTCTCAAAGGTACTCAGGAGCAACAGTGTCTCTCTGGAGACTAAGGTGCACCTGATACAGGCCATGGTCTTTGCAATCGCTTGTTATGCATCAGAGAGTTGGACAATGACTAGGGATGACAGAAGGAGAGTGGATGCTTTTGAGCTGTGGTGCTGGAGAAGGGTACTGAATGTACCATGGACTGCCAGGAAAACAAACAGATTCATCTTGGAGAGGATTAAACCAAGCTGCTCCTTGGAGGCAAGGACTCTGGGGCTTCGTCTGACATACTTTGGACATGTTGCCAGGAGGGACGGGTCCTTGGAGAGGGACATCATGCTTGGGAGGGTGGAGGGACAGCGCAGGAGGGGAAGACCCTCTATGAGATGGATTGATTCAGTGACTGGGGTAATTGGGATGGGTGTGTCAGAGGCGGTGCGGTTGGCGCAGGATAGAGCAGGGTTTAGGGCTGTTGTGCATAGGGTCGCTATGAGTCGGAAACGACTCGACGGCACATAACAACAACAAGTAAGAACCACATGGCCACAGTGTCAAAATAGGATTAGAATGACCCAAAGAAAAGACACAGACATTCTCCAGTCATTGAGTCAGAACTGCCTCTTTACTGACCCTCCAGTGGGTTTTCAGAGGCTATAAATTCATGGGAGAAAATTGTTCATCTTTCCCCGTCAGAGCAGCTGGTGGATTTGAACCACCTGCCTTTGGGTTGGAAGCAAAATTCCTTTTTTAGTAGGCCATCAAAGCTTTGTTGGACAGCTTTTGATTTCCCAAATACTTACAACAATATTTCCCTTTTCCTAATGTTATTCTAAAATTTTGCTGCCAGCACCACCCATAAATAAGTAGAGTTTAATACCTTTCTCCTTGGATCTGGAGGGGTTAATGGCTTGCTTGTAATGAAATAATGCAGAGATATGACTAGGTTAGAAAAATAAAGAAAAGGCAAAGCAATTTCTACCGGGTCCACTGAACACTCACCTATGCTACAGGCCATACGTAAGACCACCATTATGCAAGGAAATTCGTTCAAGTGGGAAGGCCACATAGAAAAACTCTGAGACAACATGAAGAGAGAGATACTTATACATCTCCAGTTACTTGAGAGTTGCTCAGTTTTAGGCCCTCACTGTCTCCAACAGTCTAAGATGCTCCAAGTCAGAAATACTCAACTTCGACCATCTTGAATTCTTGACCCACAGAAAATATATGATAATAAAATAACTAGTGGTGTAGTCCTTGGGAAGTTGGAGTGCTAACCCAAAAGCCATGCCTCTTTGGTGGTTCAAAACTACCAGCATCTCTGCAGGAGAAAGCTGGTCAATCTCCTCCTGTGCATTTTACAACCTCAGAAACCTGATGCAGAGTCAGCTAAGATTGATTGTGACTCTACCACAATGAATTTAAGCTTGAAATCGCTTCAAGAGACTGAATTTTTAGTGACATTCACAGCAACTATGACAACTGCCTTCACGTTTCAAGAAAGAAAAGGAGCACCAATGATCTACCAACTTTTAAAACATTTCTCAACTCTCTATATAGAGGTATTTTCCATAATTTACTTTCTGCGACATTCAAACCAGAACTCCAGAACAGTTACAGTATAACTTGAGGAAGAACTCAGGGAAAGGCAATGGTGTTTCAAGCAAAGTCAATGAAAAGAATTCTTGTTCTAATTTTTAAAGAACAGAACAGACATCAACATGGAATGATAGAGTAAAAAATCTGGCTGAAGAAAGTATAAGTAATATGTCTGATACTTAACACTGACATCATGAGTTTATTGTATTACTACAAACAAGTTAATTTCTCAATGATCCAAACAGATTCAATTTCATGAAATAATATCTGTTAAGATCACCTATCTGTTTTCTATTAATAAATACAAAGTTCAGCTAGGCATTGCAGGTAATACACAAATTTGGGGTTTTAAAAAAATCTGTTCACTCATTTTACAAAGTACACAACACGAAGGCCCCAGCTGCTCCATGGAAGAAAAATGAGCAATCTCATCTAACGTGTTTTACTGTCTCTGAAAACCCACCAGTGGGTCAACTGTGAGTTGATTCTGATGCAATGGTAAATAACAACAGTAATAACTATATGCCGGGCATTACATTATGAATAAGAGACCTAGTAGTAAATGAAGACAAAAAATCTTTGCATCAAAAAGTTTGTTGAAAAAAAAAAAAGAAAAAAAAAAGTTTGTTGAAGGGTCAGACAGGTAAAAACACAGTCCCTTAAACAGGAAAAGGGGGAAACGGCACCACAGATTCAATAGCTACTTAAGAGAATTAGAGCATGATTTTCTCTAAAAAAATCTACAATTTCATTTAGATTTGTTTGGGAAAGAAAGAAACCATTATTTTCTTTTCCCCCCCTTTATTTATTTTAAATTTTTAAATGTTATTAATTTTCATGAACATTTACAGAGATTTTGGATTTTCATTCATTCAATGTTGCACTATTTTCTCTAGCCCATTCCAGTTTGTTACTATCTTTTCCCCCCCTTGAAAGTCTGTTTTAATTGTCCCATTGCCACAGTGCTTGTCAAAACCAGTTCTGATTAATCTCCTTTGTCAGTGTGCCCTTTGCCATCCCCTATCACTCCTCCCTGAGAGAGACTTCACCCTGATTCATAAGGGAAAGGGGATGGCATATTCTCTTAGCTACTTCCTGCTGAAAAGGGATGCCGTAGAAACCATTATTTTCAAAGACAACATGCTAAATAATTTCTTAACCATTAAACATATGTAAATAACAGTGGCATTTTGATGTATTTTAAAATGTTTTATTTTAAGGGCCTCTTGTGGTGTAGCCTTTGGCATGTTTCACTACTAACCAAGAATAGCTGTTTTGTTTTCAATAAATGAAACTAAACTCAGAGGGGTAATTTCCCAAGACCCTGCAAGTTGCTTCCTACAGACAACAACATAGAGTATTCCCCTGGCTTTGAGTTTAAAATTGGAATATATTATTCATTTTTAGCAGACTAAGTGAATGATCCTCCATCAATTTTCTTCTGACTTTCATTTTTTGTTTACCTTTTGATGTTTGTTCTGGAGAAATAAAGTCCATGTTTCCTTTGCATTCACAAACCAAGCACGAGGAGCAGTCCTGAAATTCACTCCTGATGTTGTGGAGAATCTTGCTGATGTTTTCGAAGTGCGAATAATTTAGGAAGATTCCTCTTATCAGCTGAGCTTCCCTTACTGGTTGCAGAAGAGTCAGGAAAGAAACATTTAATGAGGACAGTAAATAGGTGAGATTAGTTTGTAAACATGCTTCCAGACACGATAGCTCCAAGAAGTCCTCTGAAAGGAGAAAACACAACACTTTTAGTATTTAAAAAAAAAAAACAGTACACTAAACAAAACGTTTTAAAAATCTGCTTTGTAAGACAAATAAAAAAGATAAACAAGCTGTTTGCTGCATCATATATAATATGCAAAACATTAGTGATCTTGATATAAAGACATTTTGAAATCAGATAAAACAAATCACTTAATTCAAATCAAAATGAGAGATGAATAAGAAATTTAAAAAATGAAATAAAAATGCCTATTAAATAAAAGGGATTTCTGGCGCCTAGTGCATAAGGAGTTGCACTGACACAATGTGAAACTAATGGCATTCAAACAACACCATGATGATGTCTTGGGTTTTTCTTAGTCTGAATCAATACCTTTCAGTTTATCAGTTGACAACTCAAACTCAACTCATCAAGTGGGAACTGACTCACAGTGGATTTTCAGAGACTCTAAATCTCATGCAAGGAGATTACCCATCTTTCTTTCACAGAAAAGTTAGAGGATTTGAACCACCTGCCTTTGGGATAGCAGTGTACACGGTGTTTCCTCAATAATATATATATTGACAACATCTGTTAAATTTAAATGAGCTCTCTGGAGGCTTCTTGTTATGTGCCGTCAAATTGGAACCAATCCATAGCTTGTTCTCTCTCTCTCTCTCTACTTCCCTCCCTCCCTCCCCACACACAGACACAGACACACACACACACACACACACACACACACACACACCCCAGCGAGTTTTCAGAGTCAGTAAATGCAGTAAGTTGCACTGGAGAAGTTTGTCCATCCTTCTCCTGAGGGACAGCTGGTAGATTTGAACTTTGTACCTATGGGATTGTAGTGCAGCTTATCACTAGACCACCAGAGCTCTCAGAATTGCACTCCTAGCACAAAGATGTGTGGTACGAAGCTATAAATTTATTCTGACTTGATGGCAATGAGTTTTTGAGTGAAAGACAAATATATTATTGTTGTTTTTAGGTCCCATCAAGTTGGTTTCAACTTACGTACAACAGCAAAAAGTACCCAGTCCTACATCACCCTCACAGGGCGCTCTGGTGGCCTAGTGGTAAGAAGATGCACTGGGATCCCAAAGGCATGTGGTTTAAATCTACCAGCCACTCTGTGGGAGAAAGATGGGCAATCTCCTCCCAGGTGATTAATTGCCTCTGAAAACCCACCAGAGGGTTCTGAGTCGGTTCTGATTCTACGGTACGCACCAACAACACATCATCCTCATATCTGTTTCTATACTTGGGCTCGTTGTTGCTACCACTGTATCAATCCATCCTGTTGAACATTTTCCACTTTTTAACTGACCCTTTACAAGAGTTAATGCCTTTATATTGTGGTGTTGGAGAAGAGTCCTGAATATCCCATAGACTGCCAAAAGAGCAAACAAAAATGTCTTGGAGAAAGTGCAGCCAACAGTGACCCTTGGAGAGAAAGGTGATAACGCTTTGTCCTACATACTTAGAGCATGTTGCTAGAAGAGGCTTTTCTTTGCAGAGGGACATCAGGCTTGGAAAGATTGAGAGTCAATAAAAAGAGGAAGACTGTCAACTAGATGAATTGATAAAGCGACTATTGCAATAAGGTCTAGTGTGTCAGAGACTGGGAGGATGGAACAGGATAGTACAGGGTTCAGATCTGTCGTTCATAGGGTCACTATAGGTCATACTCAACTCAATGGCACCTAACAACAATGACAACGACTTTACTAAGCATAATATCCTTCTCCAAAGGACTGATCCCTTCCAATAGCATGAGGAAGTATATGAACCAAAATCTTGTCATTCTCACTTCTAAGGAGCATTCTGGCTCTTCTTCTAGTAGAGATTATTCATGGAAAAATAACTAACTCTGCCTTTGAAGTTTATTCTTCTATTGTATTCAATAATTTTCTCCAACACAATAACACAAAGGCACCAATTTTCCTTTTTTTATTTATTATTTATTTATTTTTTTATTGTCAAAGATTTCATTTTATTTAGATGTATGGCCAAAGCCCATGGAAACCACAGCCAAGAAACCTAATGACATGTTACATTAGGCAAATCTATTTCAAAAGACTTCTTTAATGTGTTAAAACCCAAGATGTTAGTTTTCAAACAAAGATGTGCCTGACCCAGGTCACAGTATTTTCAGTTGGCTCCTATGTATGTGAAAGCTGGACAATAAGTATGGAGACTTCATGTATTTTAATTCATGAAGAAGAATTCATGTATTGGAATGGTAGTGTTGTAGAATATTGACTACACACCAAGTACTGTCAAAAGCAAAAGAACATTCTGTCTTGGAAGAATAGCCACTCAGAATGCTCTTTAAAGGTGAGAATGGGAAACTCATCTCGTACACTTTGGTCACATTATCAGGAGAGAATGGTGCCTATAGAAGAACATCATGCTTCATGCAGTAGAGAGTCAGTGAAAAAGAAGACAACTTGTAACAAGATGGTTAAACCACACAGTCATTCTAACAGTGGACTCAAACAAACCAATGATTTCAAGGATGGCACAGGGCAGTGTCTCATTCTATTGTTGTTGTTGTTGTTGTTGTTATGTGCCGTCGAGTCGTTTGTGACTCATAGCGACCCTATGTACAACAGCCCTAAACCCTGCTCTATCCTGTGCCAATCGCATTGCCTCTGACACACCCATTCCGATTACCCCAGTCACTGAATCAATCCACCTCATAGAGGGTCTTCCCCTCCTGTGCTGTCCCAGCTCTACCCAGCAAGATGTCCCTCTCTAAAGACCTGTCTCTCCTTACAACATGCCCAAAGTATGTCAGACGAAGCCCCAGAATCCTTGCCTCCAAGAAGCAGCCTGGTTTAACCCTCTCTAGGATGAATCTGTTTGTTTTCTTGGCAGTCCATGGTACATTCAATACTCTTCTCCAGCACCACAGCTCAAAGGCGTCAATTCTCCATCTATCCTCCCTAGTCATTGTCCAACTCTCTGATGCATAACAAGTGATTGCAAAAACCATGGCCTGTATCAGGCGGACCTTAGTCTCCAGAGAGACGTTATTATGAGTTTGAACCACCTTTGTGGCACCTAACAGTATTATATATTTTTAGTACTTAATGATAAATTACTGGTTTTCTACATTCAGAATCATTTCTGTAATGTTATTGTGTTGGCTCCACAGTCAACACTCTTGGTACCAGTTGTTGTTGTTGTTATGTGCCATCGAGTCATTTGCGACTCATAGCGACCGCACAAGAGCCGAAATTAAAAGACGTATTGTGATGCGAAAGTCTGCTGTTAGGGACCTCTCCAAAGTACTGAAGAGCAATGGTGTCACTCTGGAGACTAAGGTGTGCCTGATACAGGCCATGGTCTTTGCTATCACTTGTTATGGGTCAGAGCGTTGTCAATGACTAAGGAGGATAGAAGAAAGAATTGATGCCTTTGAGCTGTGGTATTGGAGAAGAATATTGAACATACCATGGACTGCTAAGAAAAAGAGCAGGTTCATCCTAGAGAAGGTTAAACCAGGATGCTTCTTGAAAGCAAAGATTTTGCAGATTCGTCTGACATACTTTGGACATGTTGCAAGAAAGGACCAGTCCTTTGAGAAGGACGTCATGCTTGGGAGGGTGGAGGGACAGCGCAGGAGAGGAAGAACCTCAATGAAATAGATTGATTCAGTTACTGGGGGAATGGGGGTATGTGAGTCGGAGACAGTGAGATTGGTACAGGATAGAGCAGGGTTTAGTGTTGTTGTACATTGGGTCACTATGAGTCGCAGGTGACTCGACAGCACATAACAACAACAGCAATGTTATTGTTGGGTTATTGTTGGGTGTTACAACTCACAGTGACCCTATAAGCCACAGATCTGGAATTTGCCCTATCCCGTTCCAAGCTCCCAATCTCTGTCATGTTCATGCCTATTGTGGTAGTCTATCTCATTGAAGGTCTTTCTCTCTTTTCACCGATCTTCTACTTTTACCAGCATGATTTAGCCCTCTCTAAGGATTAGTTCCTCCCGAACATATGTCCAAATTAAGTGAGACAAAGTTTCACCATTCTTGCTTCTAAGGAATACATTGGTTGCACTTGCTTCAAGACATGTTCCCTTGTTCTTTTGGTCCGTGTTCTTCTCTAACACCACAATTCAAGGTTATGGTCTTCTGTGTTTATTCATTGTCCAGCTTCCACATGCATATGAAGCCACTAAAAATACAATGGCTTGGATCAGGCACACCTTACTTTTTAAATTGACACCACTGCTCTTTAGCACATTAAAGAGGTTTATGACAGCACATTTGTCTACTGTAACATATGTTTTGATTCCTTGACAATATCAGTCTTCTCTCTATCACGATATTTCCTGTTTGTCCAGTGGTGAGAATTTTTATTTTCTTGAAATTGAAGTGTAATCCATATTGAAAGCTGTAGTGTTTTATTGTCTTCAATAATACTTCAAGTCTTCTTCACCTTCTACAAGCAAAGTTGTTTTCTGCATAACGGAAATTGTTGATGAGTCTTCTCCAATCATGATGCCATAGTCTTCTTAACATTGTCCAGATTTTTTAATTATTTGCTCAGCTTACACACATAATAGATGTGCACAAAGGATAACCCCTGATTCACACCTTTTCTGATAATTCTGATTTAACTTTGAGCCGTAGAAAGGGTCATACTTAAATTCCTATTAAGGCCTATTGGAGGAATGAGGAAATATATTTTACTCACATAAAAATTTTCTAAGTCATAATTATTATAATAAGAGTTCTAATGAAATTAATTAATAAAAATTTATTGCTTTCAGTAATAATGTCCACAGCAAAGACAAAAATAGACAATCTGATGGAACTCCATAATTGATAGCTTTTGTATATTACAAAAAACACACAAAAACTTATTTTGTCATCATCTCATTTCATCGCTGACACTTCTGATCTTATGAAATTCTCAACTTCTTGAATTTATATTCCTATGACATGGCTTAGAAGGGCGATAGAGAAATTTAAACTGTCAATTTGTGGT